GCGCAGGCGGGGAACGTTGGCTTCCTCCTTCAATGAAGGAAGCAAGCCTCATGTTAGTTTCAAGCTACCTGGCTGCCGGCCGCCATCTTGGCTGTCAGTTAATTTGCATATCTCCCTGATTAGCCAATGGGAAGGGTAGCGGTCGTACGCCAATTACCATGTTTCTCTTTTATTAGTGTAGATCAACGCCATCTTTCCAGTTGCTCAGACCAGGAAGTGTGGAATAATTCTCAACAATTTCTCTCATACTTCACATCCAAATCAACAAATTCAAAATATATCCAAAATCAAACTGCAGATGGCCTACATTGCAGGCAGCTTAGCCTAGGATCCCACCATCTCCTTCCTAGATTATTACAACAGCCCCCCTAACTTATCTCTCTGATTCTGCCGTTGGTCTTCTATAGTTAATTCTCAAGACAGCAGCTAAAGTAATATAGCACTCTTCTGTATTTAAAGTTTTATTGTTGATTTTGAGTTTTACTGAGGTATAAAACACTGCTCTACTCAAAATCCTCTGATGGCTTATCTCAGAGTTAAAAGCCAAATGCCTTACAATGGTTGGTAAGGTCCTATACAACATGGCCCACACTACTTTGCAGGCCCCATTTCCTACTAGCCTCCCTCTTGTTCAATCAATGGCGGCCAAAGCAGGCTCTTTGCAGTTCCTCCAGGTCTCTACCTAAATATCGTCTCTCAGTGAGGCCTTCCCTGACGATCAAATTTTAAATGGCAGTCTACAAACTGCCATTTACTCCTTATCCCCCCTTCCCTAACTTTAGTTTTCTCCATAGTACTGACCACCATTTAATATAGTATATCTTTTAATTTTTATTATCTTTCACCACTAAATCATAAGCTTCATGAGGCAGAGATTTCAGTCCATTTCTTTAGCACCTAGAACAGGGCCAGGCACAAAGTAGATGCTCAAAAAATATTCACGGAATAAGTAAATGAGGTCCAAAAGAGGTGAGGTGTTTTACCAAAATGTGACAAAATAGGGCAAGATTCCATATCTCTGTAGTTTAGGAGCCACTTTTTCTAAGAGTGCTGATAGATTCAAAATGTCCCAATCTCAATTCTTATTCGGTGGTAATCAAAAGCACACATGCATGGAATGGTAATTTCTGATCAGGTGAATAAACTATTTAGAATAACTTGATCAGACTCAAGCTAAAACTTGTTAGCACCAAATTAAATTCAACTGTCTAAGATAAGCAAATTTGGTACTTAGCACCTTAAGTGTTTTATTTAAACCTCTTTTTTTTTTTAATTTATAGATGACAGAACTTGAAGAGTTTAAACAAGAAAATAAAATAAAGTCCTATGGAAGAACAAAAAGCAGTGCTCCTTTACTCTTATATCAAGAATGTATTTTATCCTATTTTTAAACTATAACCAAGGCAGAACAAATATCTGTAAATGAAAAAGGAATTTATGTTAACAATGGAAAGATGTTGTTTCTGGGCAAAATTATGAAGTGTTTTTTTTAATTACATAGAAAGGTGAATGATAAAACTTTTCTAGAGACAGATAAGGAAATAAAAACTAGTATATCACCAAGTCCATCTATAAACCACTTTCAGAGCTTTTGTACAATCATTAATATAGAAATTAATTTGGAAGTTTAAAACTAATGGATTAAATTTTTTGATTATTAATTGCAAGGAACACATTACATTGTAAATAATCATTGAAACTGGCTTTAATCTGTTTCAAAGTAAAATAGTTCTCATTTTAGAGTAAAAAACCACAACTGAGTCATACTTTTAGAGTCTGCCTATCCTTTGGCAACTAAGATCACAAAAGGTGACTTGCTTGTCTTTAAAATAAACAAATGTCAATTTTTTAATATACATGTATATGTGAAAAAATATATACATGAAAAAAACAAGTGCATTGTTATTCCCCATATATTTTTTCTATTTTTTTACATCCTTACCTGAGGATATGTTTACTGATTTTAGAGAGAAAGGAAGAGAAGGAGGGAAAAAGGGAGGGAGTGGGGAGAGAGTGTGATGGGGGGCGGGGGGAGATACCTATGTGAAAGGGAAACATTGATTTGTCTCACAAAAAAACTGGGGATCGAACCCGCAACCTAGGTATGTGCTCTGACCGAGAGTCAAAGCCACAGCCTTTTTTGGTGTACAGGAAGACACTCCAACTAACTGAGCTAACCGGCTGGGGCACCCCTATATTTTTTAATGTTACTTTTACCCCAAAAAACTTCATTAATGGTTAATTAGATACTATGTGTTAGCCAGACAAATATGTAACTTTAAAACTTGTTTTAATATCTACAAGAGGTTTTGTTAATTCTTTACAGCTTAGAACCCATAATTATTAAGATAATATTAATAATAATCCCAAAATAAGAGAGGATATAATAACATCTAATGGTATAAATAACAGCCAAATTAAAAAGCTCTAAGTAAGGCAGCCATAAAGAATCTGTAGAGAATTATAGGGAATCTCTTGGAAGTCTTGGCAAAACAGAGCAAACACTAAACAGTTTTAAAGAATAGTAAAGAGTATAAAAATAAACATCATAATATCAGTAAATTTGGAAAACATAAAACAAACTATTAAAATTAACTTATTCAAAATAAAAAAGCTGAGAATTAGTATTGTTGAAAACTATAGAGCTAGAACTGGGTAATATATTTTAAATGACAACAAAAATAACTGCAATTTTGGAACATAATTGTAGAGACCATGTTGTTCCAAGGACATGAAAATAACTATGGCTTCCTAACAACAAAAGCTTTTACACTCCTTGGACTGCATTCATGCAAGAGGAAGATTAAAGGGCAGCAGTCAAAATGACTAAACTTCAACTTGGACTGAAGTATTGATTTGGTGGGCTTTTCTTGGCCAGAAGTGACCCACCAGCTTAAGATCAAGAGCCAAAGAACCCAGTGGAAATTTGTGCTCAATTTGGTGGGCTTTGAGGCCATCTCTGGGTAAATTAGCATCAACCTTATGGGAGGCCAGTCTTGAAGTAAGGAAGTCTCCCCAAGACCTGATTTCTTGAGACCACAACCTAGAGCAGGTCCCACTGTAAAATTCACATTCCTTGGAAAGAGAGAATAGGCACCAGTGGTGTCCATCGAAGGGGGACACTGTCCAGGTGTACCCTGGACATTTTTTGAAATCTCTGGGCTGCTTCTGCATCTGAAAAATAAGAAAAATAGCACAATGACAGACAACGAAAGAAGAAAAAGACAATCATCGGGCCTAAACACTTAAGGCCTATAAGAAATTAAGAAAGCAGACAAAATAGACAAAAAGACAAACAGCCATATCATTTGAAATGTATTATTCTGAAGGCAAGTACAACAGAGAAAAACACAAATTATTTTAAGCAAAGTAAGAAATGACTATAGCAACAAAAGTTATTTTGGAAAGAGCCAACTGGAGAAAACAACATATGTTAAGATATGTCAACCTGACACAAAAATAAGGTGGAATAAAGAACCTAGTCTCATTTGAAGCTGAAAAAAGCTGAATAATGAGAACTAGTGTCATGAACTTGGCTGCTTAACTGCCTTTGTGTAAGAAAACATCTCAGAACTTTGAACTTAGGAAATTCCAACTTGTCTCGCACCAGGTCACGAGCTCCATAGAGCAGGAACCTATTTCAACAAGCAGCTTTAAAAAGAACAAAAAAAACACAAAATACTTTAATATTTTTCATTTCTATTAATGATACATTTAAAAATGCAATAGTGCTAAAATCCATCAAAGCAAAATACAATGAATAAAAATTAAACTTACTCAGAAAGATGTTCAGAAGTTGGAATCCGAGCAGAAACTGAAATTAGAAAAAAAGTTTTCTATTTAAAACTGATAAAATATGATGAGCGAGAGCAACGATTTTATTAAGAATCTATATTGTGGCTGACCAAAAATAGTAAAAAAAATATCGAAAATCCAAAGTAACACAATTGTATGTATACTTACCTTTCTCTACTACAACTTGACAAGTATGAGTTTCCTGCTGACTCAAGTGTGCAGCCATATTATCAAAGCCAGATACATCAGCTAGGAAATCACAATCAAGGCACACCAGAGTAATGCCCCTAAAAAAAAAAAAAAGCAAACAGTATAAAAGTTGTTTTATCTTTTATGAAAATCCATAAATAAGTTCAATGATTATCTAAACCAGGGGTCCTCAAACTACGGCCCGCGGGCCACATGCAAATACAAATATTGTATTTGTTCCCGTTTTGTTTTTTTTACTTCAAAATAAGATATGTGCAGTGTGCATAGGAATTTGTTCATAGTTTTTTTTTAAACTATAGTCCGGCCCTCCAACGGTCTGAGGGACAGTGAACTGGCCCCATTTAAAAAGTTTGAGGACCCCTGATCTAAACTAATAATAGAGAAATATGCAAATTAGCTGGGACGCCGTAACATCACAACCAAACAGCAGGGACCTGCATGGCGCCTGTCTGGGGCGAGGGACCTCAGGTCACGCCCCCCTGCCCAGGTGCTGGGCGGAAAACCTCAGGCCACGCCCCCCACCCAGGCACTGGGCCAGGAGACCTCAGGCAGCCCCCCACTCAGGTGCTGGACCAGGAGACCTCAGGCTGCGCCTCCGCCCAGGTGCTGGGCCAGGAGAACTCAGGCTGTACCTCCCTCCAGGCGCTGGACCGGAGACCTCAGGTCTCAACCCTGCCCAGGCGATGGGCTGGGAGACCTCAGGCCGCTCCCCCTACCCCAGTGCTGGGCCCGGGGACCTGAGGCCGTGTCCCCTGCCTGGCGGGGCTTGACAGGGGACCTGAAGCTGCGCCCCCGCCAGAGGGGCTTGACGGAGGTGGGGCCAGCTGGGTCTGGGTCTCACCCAATGGGGGTGGGGCTGGCCAGGTCTGGGTCTCCTGTGTTTTCGATGCGCGTGCGGGTGGTGGGCGGGGACTTGACTCTAGGTCCCGCAGTGTGCCCCAGATTCTGACAGGAGGGAGCTTTTCATATACATTTTACTAATTTTCTTTCATCTCTAACACTTCTTTTATAGAGAAAGGGCAAATAGCAATATTAAAATATTTCCTCTAATTAATTCCCTTTTAATGTGCAGAATTTTGTGCACCGAGCCACTAGTTTTTTCATAATTGGCTTTTTGTGTCAAACTGTTGATCTTATTTTTGTTATATAAACTTGGTATAACAAAAATAATTCTCTAGAAAAATGGCATAGCCATATCCAAATCATGCTATCATTTATTTACAGAAAGTATTCTTTTTATAAACTTTTACTTCTCAGACCAGTTGCTAAAAGCTAGGAGTTAAGAGACCTAAAGCCCAGTGTTGGTTCCACTAACAACTTGTGTCACTGCAACAAGTCACAATCCACCTGTACCTCCACCATCTGCAATGCAAGGGTATAGTAATCATTCATTCAAACTATATTTACTAAGGCTGTCTTTACACATACTGTACTACTACTGTACTGTATTGTGAATATAAGTGAAAAAAATACAGTCTGTGCCCTAACAAATCTATAATCTAGTGTTTTATTTAGGTGAGAAAAAAATTAGAAGAGAAATGTTAAGGTTTTAAATATATACATCATGTAGTAGCTGTCACTGATTGCATACTATGTGTTAAAGGTTTTTCTATATATTATTTTTATTCTTAATCACAACATATATTATATTATTCTCACTTCACATTGAATTCGTTAATTAGAGTGAATTAGTTATTTCACGACTGAAGTCCAAAGCCTGAGTTCCCAATCATCCTTGCACTGTGAACTGGCCCACTTGCTGGGGCCTGAACTACTCGTTTCCTTACCAAACACCGAGTGCTGTAGTTCTTAAATGAAATATGTAATGATTATAAATTTTCAAAAAGCCTAGGAAACAATTTCCATGGTCATCAATACTTTCTGTTGCATTCAGGAACAGTTTTTAGACTCATTAGAATAAACTATGTAGTATTTGCTATTTAAAATATTTAAACATAATTGGTATATTACAGTGTGTCACAGTGGCCTTAAGATTCTCCTAAAAATGTGTTTAAACTTTTGATTTTTAGTTGAAATGTATTTTTAAATATTATTAAGCCTGCAAAAGTATGTAAATGTTTCAGAAAACTTAAAAATTCACTATATGTTTAATTTATTATATTTTAAGAGTTAAGAACTTGGGAGCTTGTTTAGTCAAGCATTTAAAGTGCTGTTTAAAAGAAAATATATTAAATGTATAAATGATGTTAAGTTGTTTAAAAGAACTGGAGTTGCAAATGGGACTGTTTAAAAAACTTAGTCTGTTCAACTTAAATGAATCTTAACAAACATTAAAGGCCCTCTAGAAAGTGATTATTAAAATGTACTTGATTTCTAAATGCAATATTTTTACGTTAAACTTAAAAGCTTAAGGGAAGTTAAGATTTAAATACTTAACTTTAGTAACTAAATACACACACACACACACACACACACACACACACACACACACACACACACTAGTGGCCTGGCAGACGGATTCGTGCACATTGAAAGGAAATTAATTAGAAGGTGGCTGGTGGGGCGGGACTGGGCGAGACAGGCCAGACACACCCTGGAACCAACATCCCTCAGTCCCTCCCCGGCATCTTTGGAGTGAGCAGGGTCCTTCCAGTAGGTGGAGTCCCTTGGCCTGGCCTGTGGGGATCGGGCCTAAACCGGCTCTCTGACATCCTGAGGGGTCCTGGAGTGTGAGAGAGCACTCTGCAAAGTTGCTGTTGTACAGGGTGTGGAACTCAAACAAAAGTGTGCAGTAAACCAGATTCGGGGCCGACAGTGCCCCAGAACCAACGTAACCCACGGCTGAAGGTGGAATTGCGCAGCCCCGGGAGGAATCGGGCTTCCTCTTCTCTGGTTTTGGGGTGCATCACCTAAGAACCGCCGCTGCCAAATCACTGCAGCTCAGCAGCTCGTGTTAAGTGTCTGTCCCCTCGTGGTCAGTGCACATCATAGCAACTAGTCAGATGGTGGGAGGGACACTTAGCATATTAGCCTTTTATTTATGTAGATATGTGCATGTATGTTCTTTTCTATTAACAAACTGCTCTCGCAGACACTAAAAGTGGTCTCAATGGTAAAAAGTAGCTAAATGCCTATTCTACAGGATATAGTTAATTGGACCAGGGTGGAATGCCTAAATCAAGCCTTCTCTAAACAAGGATTTGTAATTACAAATTTATAATAAAATTCCTTGATCTGGGAAAATGTAGGAGGCTCAGATTACTATTGGGTCATCAATAGACAGGACTGGTCTGCACAAAGAAAGGAGAATGGAAACCAACTCTAGAGAAATTAATAAAGACAAGATCATCCTGCCTCAGTGGGTTAGACTAGAGAGAAGCCGTGTCAGTAAGTGATGGCTTTCTGGTTCCCTTTTTTGTTCTAGCTATACTTCCTCCTCTTAGGGGCCTATGAGATTCTTTAGAATCCTGCTAATATATTATTTTTGCTTAGGTTAAAAAAAAGATCATGTAATGCTATCATTGTTACTGTCAATTTTACAAAGTCTAAAATATACTTTGGAAATTCACCACATACTTTAAATATTTGAGCATTTTACCAATATACAAATACAAACAAGTAATATACCATAGACTGACTTCTCCCATGAAGCTCTACTGCAAGCATGTCAAACTCAAAGGCTAACACGGGCCAAATAAACAAGGTTTAAGTTTATGTGGGCCGCAAAAAAACAAAAGCTTCAATTTCATAGAAACATAGGTTTATTTCAATAGAGACATGCTGAATACAAAGGGCTGAAATAAATGAGTAATCGTTAACATAAAATAATAGAACATCGTAATAAAAATTAATATTTTTTCTTAAACATTAACTTACCAGACACTGAAAAACTGCACAAATTAATAAGAGTAACGCAAATAAACCTACTTTTCTTGTTCTCCGAAAGTGAAATATTTCCTGTTGCGCACACCAAACAAGTCAGTCCAAGACTAATGATGTGGCCATTGGCTGCTAAAATAATAGCTGCTAATATTAGTGGAGAGAAATGGTGCGCCTGCACGTAAGGGAAATGAATGCAATGTGATTATAGTATTCAGTCATTAGCGAACGTTGTAGTTCGTTATTATAATTATGTATAACAGGATATTGTAAAAATTAAGTTACGAAACTTTTATTCTTACATACCGTTATATTGGCTAGGCTGCAAAAAATATTCATTGTGGGCCACATGTGGCCGTGGGCCACGAGTTTGACATGCTTGGTCTACTGTGTATTTACACCTATACGTCACACTGGCATAACAAAACTGTCCATAAAACTAAAATCATGTATTTCCTCCCCAAATCAACTCCTTCTGACTGTCTCATTATGCCATTTCCTCTAACAATAAAGCTCAAACTATAATTATCTCTATATCTCCTCCCTTAAAATGGTCAATATGCCAAGCATTTTACAATATTAACAATTTATTGAGTACTTATTCTATGCCAGCCTAACAAATTTAGACATAGCATCTCATCTAAATCTTACACCCATCCAAAAAAACTATTAATTATCTTTTTATAGAGGACAGTTAACTTCGTATTCTACCAAGGACATAGAGATGGTTATGGTCAGGATCAGGTTTTAAATTGAGCACTTAGATTCCAGAGTCCATATTCTTAAAGATGATGCAATACCACCTCACCATTTTACTCAAGTCCTTACTAAATAATTCAAAACTATCACAATAGTCCTAATCTATAGAATTCATGCATCTAGAACTCACGCTACTGTTGAAGGTGAGAAGGGTATTTTCAATTCAGCGTTCCTTAAGGTATTACTTGATATTATGTAAAACATCTAAGGTTCTTTTTTTATTTTTAAATATATTTTATTGATTTTGTACAGAGAGGAAGGGAGAGAGATAGAGAGTTAGAAACATCGATGAGAGAGAAACATCGACCAGCTGCCTCCGGCACATCTCCTACTGGGGATGTGTCCGCAACCCAGGTACATGCCCTTGACCGGAACCGAACCTGGGACCTTTCAGTCCACAGGCCGACGCTCTATCCACTGAGCCAAACCGGTTTCGGCAACATCTAAGGTTCTTGAGTGCCCTCCAAATTAAGCCCAAACTCCTCAGCCTTATTTTCAATGCTTTCACTGGCTCTAAGCTCAAAACCATTGCCCCAGACTTCAACCTTACTATATTAACTTCATGCTCCATTCATTTGCTACTAGGTATTCTGTCTATAAGCCTTCTACTTTTTCATTTTTGTACTTTTATTAATGCTATTTCTTCCAACTTCAATGCTGCTGTGTCTCTTCTATCAGTATAAACAATATTCATCCTTTAAAGCAAAGTATAATTAACACCTATCCAGATTATTCAAATAATCTCTCTCCCCTTTGAAAAAAATAGTCTTCACTGCACTTATTAAAATCTTCCTTGCGGCCCTAACCGGTTAGGCTCAGTGGATAGAGCATCGGCCTGCGGACTGAAAGGTCCCAGGTTCGATTCCAGTCAAGGGCATGTACCTTGGTTGCAGGCACATCACCAGTAGGAGGTGTGTAGGAGGCAGCTGATTGATGTTTCTCTCTCATTGATGTTTCTAACTCTCTATCCCTCTCCCTTCCTCTCTGTAAAAAATCAATAAAATATATTTTTTTAAAAATCTTCCTTGCATTATTAGTTATTTATGTTCACCTATATCTCCCATCCAATAAACTGTATATTCCCTGAAAACTGGTTGTAAGACTTCATCACTTTCATCTTTACAGGAACTATATAGTATGTACATGATAGATACATAATAAAGAGATAAAGAATGAATATTCCATTACAATAAAGGATTATAAAAAAATACTGTTCTACACAATTATAAGTATGCTATACTCCATTCATAGGAATTGACTTATTTTCAATTTGATAACTACTGAAGTAGAGGGGAAAAATCCCAGATTTTTAAAATAACATAGTTCACTTAAAAACAGAACACACAATTAAGCTTGACAACAGTGAGATAAGACTAAAACTAAAATTTCATCTTTTAAATGAAAAACTCTTTTCTTTTTTTTTTTATTGCTTAAAGTATTACAAAGAGTATTACATATGTCTCCTTCTTTCCCCCCCCACTTGACATTCCCCCGGCCTCCCCTACTCCCCAGTGTCTTATGTCCATTGGTTATGCTTATATGCATGCATACAAGTCCTTCGGTTGATCTCTTAC